CGGATGAATAAGTTACATGGCCCGTGGAATTCTGTCATTTTCCTTGAGCGTTCAATTTTTTAGGCATATTTATATTTTATCTTAAACATTTTCCAAAATCAACTGTTGGTCAATCTCTATTTTAACAGTCACTCTTTCGGAATACATAATCAATTCAGCCTAAATGAGAATTATATCACCTTGAAACAAATAAATTATCCACAATACTTGGATATTGTTATTTGATGTCAACATTTTAGTAATCTTTTGAAGGATTTCTAAAAATACATTTTCATTCATCCATTGATTACGCATTATCGTAAGGGAACATTAATTTCTATGGAGTTACTCTAATATATTCTTCCCAAACGGAAGTGCATGGCGGGCGCTTTGTATAAAATCTATAAAATGTAAAACTTAATGTGAAATTTAATAACTTACGCAATATCGACTATTAGACTATAAGAATTAACGAATAGACATAAGTTAACTTCAAAACATGTGAAAAAGCGTATATCTATACTTAATTAAAAGCATGATTATTTTTTTTCTTCTTTTCTTTTTTGTTTCGCTTTTTTTTTGTTCTGCCGTTTTAATATTGTCATCGTATTTATCACTACAGAAACATAAGTCTCTTTACATAGAAAGACAATCCTTTACTCAAATGACCTTTACCAACGAAAAATTATGTAAACAAAGAATCACAGCTTTAATGTTAAATGTAAATCATCAAGATAGAAATGAAGAAAACAGTAATCTCTCACTAATACTTAATTATGTTCAGGGTCTGTAAACATTAAAACGGAATAAAAGAAGAGACAACTGTTGGACAGGAAATGCTTTGAGCATCATCATGTATTTATAAACTTAGTAAACAAGACAAGTAAATACTTGAAAATAAGTATGTTTGCCCGAGAGGTGACATATTTTAAATGTACTCGTTTATATCTGGCTAGCTTTAGGTTAAGCTCGATACTCGGAAAATAAAATCAATGTTCCTTCAGAATAATGGCAAAAAGGAAAGTTGATTGTCAACAGTACGTCATTATTGTCTTCAAATGTATTCTAATCGTGTCAATTGTAATCCAGTTTTTTAATAAACCATACTCCAATGATGTTATATGATTTTAACAATGGGATAAAATCTTGATACCGATGTAGCAATTTTTATTGTCTTAAAATGATTTAGACACGCACTTAACACAATGGTGTTTTTTTTTCAAATACCATTTGCGAAATCAGTTAACGAAATCAATATACATAAACCATGTGTAACCAAACAGTTATACATTATTTTCACTTTACAGGAATTAACAGTGTGTATTGTAATTGGTACATGCAGTCATATATTTAAATATACCGTGTGATGTTTTGATAAATAATCAGTTATTCATATTTGAAGGCTGCATATTGTTTTACGTTTTGGGCTTTAGATATTTATGAACAGAAAGTAATTTTGACAAATGTTGGTAAACTCGCACGGCATGATTTTTCGATGTGCTTTTTCTGTGGCGGCAATGCGTATGGATCTCTTGTCTGCGTCAGTGGCAAGACGTTTCCAGAAGCAGATAACTTTACAATCATTGCTCTATAAGCCAATAACTTACTACACAATACACGACACAAAATATATATTCTGTATAAAATAACGTATCATCTTTTTATATCAAATATAAACATGTAAGAATACTCTTACATACGCTTGTGCAATACGATAAAATTAGGTACACGATAGTTATTAAAATTATATCTGAAAGGAAATATTTTGTCATAAGAAGTACAGTATCACATAACCAAAAGCGAGTGATTGTAATTTAAATTAAACCAATAATTCAAATAATGAATAAGTTTGTATAGCTGTCAATTTGAAATATGTTTGTCTTTTATGAATGTTCAAGAATTACTTTATGCTATCTTTACTTTAAATCTAAACAGTCTGATACTTAAAAAGTCAATATTGCACATGTTATTGAATTTCACATAAAGAGTTAATGTTCAATAAGTTCCATACAAAGCGCATTCCATGAACTTCCGTTCGGAAGGAATGCATTGAAGTATTCTTACACATATGAACGTTCCCTCAGAGCAAAGCTGATTCAATCAAATCGAGTCTGCAATTTTCATGTAATTTTGCTGTTTTAGTGCTTTCGATGAATCACTTTTTTCCAGATATTTAATTATTAAAAAAACTAGTTTAAAATACATCATCATGTACTTCAAAAAGTACAAAGGCTGCATAAATTATAATAGGATGACCGTAGTAGAGAGATACCAGTGAATACATATCATCTCAAATATCAGTAATATCTAGGAAAGACAGTCATTATTATTCAGTTAAGGTGATAAGGTTATGTTGCTTATATTGCGAGTCTTAAAATAAATACAAGAGGATACTCAAGACGTTTTGCCATTTTCGTTCAAAAATAAAATCATCAAAATATCATATTATGAAAGAATGCAGATTATATATATGTTTCTGTGAATTTTACAAAAATATTATAAAAACAAAATGTTTGTACAATAAGCTCTCATGAGAATATACATGTATACATGTATGAGTCAATACATATGTGCGCTAAATATGAAATCATTATAGAAATATTTGAATGAAAAAGCTAGAAAGCTATAATCTATTTCCTGTTCAATATCTGATGAACAATAATTATCATTTTAACAATCGATAATTTACCAATATTTGATGAAGTATATAATGAAACACTCAAGGCGTTTTGTAACATGAAGAGTACGTGTAACAAACATGAAATAATCTTATGTAAATCTGATGTTTACATTTTTAAAGTGAAATGGTCAATAATGGAAGATCTGCAATACAATAAAATTTTAATAATTATGTTGAAAGTATTTAGTATCAAACATTACTTACAGTAAACAAGGAAAGGAATAGCATATTGATATTGTTGGCAAGTGAGAGATGCATGATCCAATATTACATATATTTTACAAAATGTGCTTATCATAGACAAATCCTCTTTTAATACTATTAACATGTTTTTCTAGTTCAATTTCCTGACAGGTCCATTCGCATTTACAATTGATTAACAAAGATAAATAAATATTCTTGGACATTTTTTTCTTCCTATCACTCTATTGATCTTATGATATCCGCGGCTGTTCTTCATTTACCATAAAGATTGTTTTCCTTTCAATCCTTTTCCTATTGAATCCCCCAATTACAAGTTGAATAATATTTTCCATATCGCGCTTCAAGATATTCTGAATTAATGTTTTTATTCTTCATGTTAAAACATTGTGCTATTATCTAATAAAATAATACAAAAATACGACCGTTTCAGAATATCTGTACATTTTTCGAGATTTTATTTCTAAAAATAGGATATTACAAGAATGATATGCACGTTCGTTTAAATGAGATGCTCAAAAAAATCAAGCATCTTGTGAAGATTTTAAAAAAACATTTGATGTCCAAACATGCCTTGTATATACAGATTGATATACATTTTATATTAATGCAATGCAAAACCATTGTTATATAAAAAAGCACAAATTATGTTAAAATGTAACTATATCCCACTATAAAATTTGCGGCTTTTTTTACTTGTATCCTAATATCAAATGTTTCACGTTAGCAGACAGCGAGGAAGTATGAGACTTTTAGGATATGGAATAAATTACCATTTAACATTGGACCTTTTATCTCGTAATGCGTTTGGCAAATTTTGTCATATTTGTTCAGGAAAACACAGATCTTGTGTCACATGCTTTTAGCCAAGGTCTAACACTTCTTGTACTTACATGTCGTCAAATATTCGATTATCTTGTCTATTTTCTCCAGTTTTGAAATTCTATATTCATTTTTACGACATATTGTAAAAGGGAAAAAGATGAAATTGCAGTACACATATAAATACGTCTGCAAACATAGTAGACTGATTCAAAGTTATCTCATAATAACATAACATAAATAACATTAAAATGGCTGATTGAAAAACAGACATACCTATATTACTCTGTTTCGAACAGTATTTCTTGCAAACATTATCGTCATTACATCACTTTTAAACATAGACAAGAGTATTGCAAGCGTTAATAATGCACGTCTGTAAAGGGCAACAGCTCAAGATAGGTGTGTTTTAAGTACTCAACTCAATAGCAAGTATGCCAGAAATTAAGGCAATATCTTTAGTTCCTTTCAAAATGTTAATTTGTTTGATTAAATTGAATTTCAAACGACCATTTTTAACACAAATCAAGAAGTGTAAAATGGCATAATTTTGAAGATATTGCATTGTGGATTCGGCCCTTTGTCATATAATTGCGCTCTTGAATGAAATTCATAACATTTTGCGTTGTTTTTATTCTTCAATTAATTTATTTAATACTCAATTTTAGCAAAATCAATGTTAAAAAAGGCATTATTCAAACAATATGGCTTTCAGAATAATTAAGATTGTCATTAAAATGCCATTTGTAAAGTATGATTCAAGATTCATCTTGAGACTGTTTTAATTGCTTAAGTAATGAGCTACATTTATGAGGGTTTTTTGACAAAACGACAACAACGAGAATGACCCACTTTAGTTTTTATACAAAACAGATGAGCAAAAATTATATATTGGGTCTGTATGGAATAAACATCTCTTTACTGTATCGGCATAATACAACTATTTACAGAAGAATCTAAATCCATTTTAAATAACATTCATAATTGCCTAAATATATAAATGTTATGGAAGTTTAAATATTTAAATTCATGTGCTAAGAATTCATAAAACATTGTATTTATTTATTCACTTTACAAACGTCCTCTTGTTTTATTATTTTCTTTTGTTGACTTTTTTGTTGCAGCAGATTTTAGTTATATATACACAATGAAAGGTATTACAAGTTTTGATTGGCTGTTGAATTCATTCAGTAAGCTGGATCGTTGTCATTTATTGGAAATCATTGAGAGCCGCTATTACTTTCCAAACGAGCGCGTTGACAATATAAAGCGATCTCCAATAAATGTTTTGTAGCACTTCGCAGAGCGACATGAAAACTCGCGTGGAACAATCGCTGTAAGAAAGAAAACTTCTGGTATTAAAGCGTATCTGAGAGGAACTTTGTTCTTATTTATTTAATATAAAAGAAATTTAATCACTGTATTTAATTAATAAGATAACATAATTGAAAAAAGTGCTTTTTCTGGATGGTTGAGTTATGAAAATAAGAACTGAATGGAACAGAGTTTTGACAATTCGAAACACTTTTCCAGCACTTCTATTTATGTGTTTATTTCTTTTTATTTTGCAAAATTATTTGGATTCAAATGTGTCTTTATTTAACAGGATGGAAAGAGATTATTCTAGTAAAGGATTTAACGTTCGGTATATGAGCAATTTTAAAGAATTTGAAGAAAAACTTTCGAGTCAAAATAATAAAAATAATAATATCGAGGCGAACATTACTTCACATGCTAACAATTTTACTCGGAAGTTACCGAACGCAATCATAATTGGAGTGAAAAAATGTGGAACGCGTGCATTACTCGAGTATCTAAGACTTAATCCAAATATTAAAGCTGCAGGACCGGAGCCTCATTTCTTTGACAGATATTATCATTTGGGACTTAATTGGTACAGGTAATATGACATTTGTTTTCAACTTTTATGAATAAGGATTGTTATATTACAAATTATTAAATAATCAACAATGATCAAAGTAAATACAAATACCTTTATGATAATTATATTTTACCTATTGGGTACATTTTTTCATGTCTTTAAAACAGGCATATAAAACTATACGTTAGAAAAATAAACAAAAACAAAAAACAACAAAAAACATGCCATTGGTAATTTTTGAAAAACACGTGACTTCGTCTGTTTTCTAAAGTTTAATTATTAGAATATTATTAATGGTTAATAGTAATGATTTTCCCCACCACACGCTTGGAATAGATTTAACAATGTTTTTTAGCGAGAGTTTCTAACCATTTTCTTTTATTTTAATTTGACTATTGTATGTGATTATCTTAATATGTATCTTTATCTTTAGACAAAAGATGCCAAAGACACATGATGGACAGCTAACAATTGAGAAAACTCCGAGATATTTCATCACAAAAGAAGTGCCAGAAAGGATTTATAATATGTCTAAATCTATCAAACTGATACTAGTTGTGCGAAATCCAGTTACTCGTGCAATTTCTGATTTTACACAAGCTGTAAGTAAAGGAGAATACAACAGCAATGTTACATTTCAAAGCAAAGCTATACGCCGTAACGGAACCGTAAACATGAAATGGTCAGCTGTAAACATAGGTCTTTATGTAAATCATTTAAAACGATGGTTAGAATATTTTTCGATGGAAAATATACATATTGTTGACGGTGAAAAGTTAATAACAAATCCTGTGCAGGAATTAAATGCTGTTCAAGATTTCTTGGAAGTACCAAGAGAAATTTCAGACAACGCCATCTATATGAATGCGTCTAGGGGATTTCCTTGCATCTTAAAACAAAACAATACACCACCTTTCAAATGTTTTAGAGGCTCAAAGGGAAGGCATCACTCTTATGCCAACTCAAACACCCTTACAACATTGCATCAGTTCTATAAACCTTATAACATTAAGTTTTATCAAATGGTTGATAAACATTTTGCTTGGTAAATTAAAGTTCTTGTGTCTGGTTTAATAAATACAATTTGATAAAAGATAATTTATCGTTGATGTAAAAATATGGAAAAGAGGTGATCCCTCTGAAGCAACAAACACAACAATATTATATTATAACTGAAACTCGGTTTAATTGAAATGTGATACGTCTATCATACCCCTAGTAAACCAAATGATTTTGGAAAGTAAACAAATGTCAGCTTTCAGGAAACATTAGATTCCCACATGTCTATATGTTATTGAACACATAGTTTTGTGGGTAACAGTAAAAATATCATCCCGAGGAAAATACTGTTACCCGAAGCGTGAGCCGTTTACCCTGAAAAATAACTGTGATGTTTTCATTTTATTTTCTTTAGAAAAAGACCATATAAACAGATTGTATACTGTTAAAATTACTCTTACACTGTAACAGTACAAATTTCTTATTCACATTGTTCAGTATAAATAGCTCCCAGTGGCCAATGGGAAATAAGCATTACACAAAAAGTGAGGGGTAGTAAAATAAACTTTCATGTTAATAAATAGTTATTGAAGAAATAATCAATTCTTTTGGAAATATTCGTTTATCGTAATTGTAACTGGGAAAGTCACGTGAGTTATAAACAAACAATTCACCTGTTGTGCATTCCAGTCATTATTCACATACGTGTAATATGGCCAAAAGTTCTTCCATTCCACAAAAAAACTTCCACATGATTATATAAAACATGTTGAAGAAATCCTCTCCATATTGTCCCTAATAAAAATAATAAACTTTCATTTGAATAATGAAATCAGTCATGGTAAGGCTAGACATCCAGTGATATGAAATTCAATTTACATATTTGCTCTGGAGAGGCCCACTTATTCGTTGTTCTTGATGAAATAGGACAGAATGGTCAGCAGTGATATACCAAATATCAAACCGTGTAAACAAAAAGAACATACGATATTGATAAAACCAATTATGCACTTAACAATGCGGAGGCATTGTTTTAGTTAAACATTCTTATTAAAGTTAAGGTTAGTACACATTGTTTTGCAAATAATAATTAGAACCTTTTTGTATAACGAACGGTTTGGAATCCATTGTAAGTCACTAATTTGAGATAATATTAGATACAATCATTTGATGTCATATGTTTGGGATAAACGACTTACAAAATGAATGATGGTCTTTGAAGCAATTGGACAGTAAAAATTGAAATTAATTATCTCACGCAAGATAAAAGTTTGTAACTTAACATAATTCACCCTATAATCTATCCAAAAGGGCGTTTGTTTTTATATAAAACACTTATAAAATGAAAAACATGTTTAGCACTAAATATCGCTAAGATGCTAGGGGATAAATATTCATGAAATTCCTTGACCTAATAACTAAGCGTTCCTTGTTGGAAAAGTTACAAAACCTAAACCTATAGAGGTCAATGAAGGTAAAGTTATTTAATGAAATGATCAATTGAAGCTTCACTTCGGGTTATAGCCTTCTTTCATGAATGCACTAAAAAGGCGCTAATCGTTTTTAATTACGTTAACTTACACCATTTACATAGAGAAACTCTTTAATGTAGGAAATAAAATTGTTTCAACATTTCCTATAACATAAATATCGTTTCATTAACTTGCGTTCTGCTATTCAAGTACTGAGTCAGAAAGGTCAATACCTTTTATCTGTTGAAAGAAACAAGTTCATTATTGCATCCTTACATTTCATTTAAAGTAGAACAGAAAATAGTATTGATGTAAAACTATGTTCATACATGTTTCATCAGAAGTATGCTTTGAATGAGTCCATGACATTTGTTAGGGAAAATATTTAGTAAGTATCGTGATGTTTTTTTGACTGCTAGGAAAATCTTTTCTAGTAATATAGATATTAGAAAGACTCGACAGTGTAAAGATAAGAAAAATTTCGTAATATATATGTTATATGGTGATCAATTTGATGCTGCAATCAATGCGTAATTAAACATTCTATTGCAATACTTCCTTTCTAGAATGTCGCTTCACGTCAGTTCAGTTTACATAAATCATTTTCAGGCTTTGATTCCAATATCAGGCAGTCAACTTTTTAAAATATTTTTTTCTGGTCTATACTTGTATTTATAAACTTCCTTTTAAATGCTTAGAAGCGTTTGTGTCAAATATATTTCAGGTTTTTATGAATATTTTGTACTTTATAGGAAACTAATCTGAATGAAAATAAGTAGTGCTGAGAACTTGCATTAAAAATTTTATTTTCTTCAAATAACTAAGTAATTTTAAAAACTAATTTTAACAAGAGACAAATTATTCATGGATTTTACAATATGCATGTTTTGATATTGGATCATTTTCATAAGATGTCTGGAACTTTGCACTATCTCTTATTTAATTTCTTTATGATAACACTCATCGGACATTGTCTGCAACTATATCATTTGTTTTGTTTTTATTGCTCTCTACCAGTTTGTCTGCTTTAGAATTGTATAGTTAAATTGTTTTATTTCTTATTCTCAATAAGCTGTAAAGTCAATGTTTTCAACAATTTCTATTTAAAACTTATCGGACATTGTCTATAACATAAACAATATGATTTGTTTTATATTGCTCTCTTCAAATGTGTCTGCTTCAGAATTGAATTGTTAAATTGTTTTATTTCATATTCTCAATAAGCAATACTGCCTATGAACATTTTGCTTGGTAAATAAAAATTCTTGTGTCTGGATTAATAAATACAATATGATAAAAGATACCTTATCGCTGATGTAAAAATCTGGAAAGGAAAGACCCTTCGGAAGCTACAAACATAACAATATTATATGAAAATTGCAGACTCGGTTTAAATGAGTCTGTTCATGAGATATTATATAATGTGATACATCTATCACGCCCCCTAGTAAACCACATGATTTTGTTATTCTGTATTGGTCTAAAAAAAAATTGTAAAAGAAATACTAAAACACCATATTACATTAATACTTAGTTTTTTTTTATAAAACTATAAAAAAAACTTACTAACCAACTTCTCGCTTTCAGATAAATTATTTCATTATGTTGCGTAGATATCTAGTTTGTATAGTGAACTGATTAAAAAGTGTACTTAAGTGTGATACGTTTAAGAAATTGTCATTATATTGTACTATGAACTTGTTACAAATCTGCCGGACATAGTGCTTGCGTAAGGGCTTTGGGTCTTATGTTGTGCAAAGAAGACTCTCTAAACGTGTACAAAATCGAATCCGCATTGGAATCAGACAAATGGTGTTTAGCCCATTACCCGAAATACACGCCTTTTAACGCCTTTTTCACCCCTCCACTATTTTTTGTCTCAAATGATGAAAAAATGCCCTTTTTAGGTCCCAAACACTAATTTTTATTGAGAAATATTGCTTAAAAAGTGACCATTTTTTTTGAGAAGCCCCCATCCAAAAGATACATCAGGGAGTTGCCAGAAGGGGGATGTGCCTCCTTCTGTTTGGGGGTTTGAAGGGGGCGTAGTCCCCCTCATAGCCAAGAAAATTTTGGACCTGTGAGAGGCTAAAATTGAGACAAAGTCGATCATACAGTAACGTGTAACGAACGCTTAAAAGCTTTTGACTCTATCTCAAACCATTGAGAGGTTGCAGCACATTGAAATCAATTTTGATGAGCAAAAAACGCAAACTAGTAATTTTTGGCAATTTTGAGATGTCCCCTCGTTGCTATAGTAACAGGAAATTTAAGACTTAGCATGTCTTAACAAAAGGCAATGGTTCAGTTAACATTTGTGTTAAGTTTGAAGCAGTTTTTATTTTTAGTTTTAAAGCAATTTGAACTTGTAACCGGAGACTTTTCAATGAAAACAGCAATTTTTTACACAATGATCAGAAAGTTATGGGTTAAACGGTTGGCTCTGCAAAATCGTTGTAGTTTTTCCTCTATTACTGATATGTCATCTCTAGATTTATGCAACGTGGAATCATCAGCATATAAATGGTATTTAAACGGTTGGCTCTGGAAAAAATTGTATTTTTGTCGAACATTTATATACAGAAAAAAAAACAAGAAAACCCTCTTGAATTGTACAAAATTGAATCCGCTTTGGAATCAGACAAATGGTGTCTAAGCGGTGAAATCAAGAACATGGTTTATTTTTTCGAAAATTTATACAGTTTATATATACAGAAAGAACAAAACGCCGGAACAAAAAACGACAATTTTACTGGGAACTCTTGCTTTTACTTATCTTGCGATAGAGCAATTTGAGCTTTCTATTGTTGTAAAGAAGATCATCTAAACTGATATTTATAAGTAACTTAATAATAAGTCTGTTGTAAGGACGTGAGCAATGCATACTTTTATTGCTGGTTAAATTAGCAAAACAAATTTTTCATCAATTTCCAATCTATGCATTTTGAACCAATGTAATTTTCCTTTTCTAGAAAGCGCAAACTTAAGCTTTATAATGTTGAAATATTGGCTTAGAGCATGTTTGAAACTTAATTCTGGAAAACCGTGGCAATGAATGTGAAATGGTTTAACATAAAAGTGGCAACAAAGTGGCATTTTGACGATCATATAAAACATTAAATCTCTGTAACTAAACAGTCAAAAAACAACAGGAACAAAATATGGTTTAGGTAAATGGCCGATGAGGAAATATTTTGAAACATTAACTTGACATCAACAATTAAAGGCTTTTGGGAAATAAGAATACAATCATTTCTGGGGCATAATGGGCGTTAAGAACAAGGTAAACGATGATAATTGGCTGCGACATATTTTCTTTTATAATTTAAAACAAGTACTGGACTCAATTCATATAACAAAGCAAGCTGCGTTTCTTCAAAAAGCATATAAAATTTCGTTTAAAATGTAACATTCGCAACTGCTGACGACAAAAAAAAACAAAACAATTGTATTCTCTAAAGCATCACCCTTTGCATTGATTCACAGAAAAAATAGTTTGACGAAAACTCAATCATTGCCTGAATGAAGATGACAGGTCTGTTATTTTGAGAAAACTTCTGTTTTTGCCAATCCTTATATCCTAGAAGAATGTTTCTTTTTATACATAGCTGGTGTAAGATTTCCTTAATTTTACATTAAATTAATAATAAGAAAACAAAAGAACGTAGAATATTTAAAATATGAATATATTGATATATACCTATGAATAATGGTATCACTAAAAGGACTTCACTGAGGTTTTTGTTTGACATTGCATGACTGGCAATAATGTTTCGAGATTAATTTTCCTTTTGACCTAGGTCTACACAATAACGTGAAACAATTCAGACCATTCGCTCACTCAATTTTTCAAAGTTGTTAACGTTGCAACGCTTTTCACTCAAATCGGCCTAAGAATAGCATAAAAATACGATTTTCAGCTTA